TAGAACTTCTGCAGCATATAGCTGGGGTGTATGAGAAATGCTGGCTCGCTGGCTACCAGCATTTCTCATACTGGGGAGAAACTGTAGCCCTCAGCTGGGAGTTAGGGTGAGAGAGAGCCCTGTGTTCTTGACTATATGTCCCTGGATTAGAGCTTCCTCACCCTGTGGGGCAGGGCTGGGTTTGTGGCTCAAAAGCCACAGATTCTACCAAGATTTGGTACTATTTGTTGCATAGATGTTTTTGTGTTTGTTGCATGTGCCTAAGACATTTTCCAGAGACTTTGAGTTTTTTATAATTTTCCCTAGTTAGGGTTGTATCCCTGAGGAGAGGGTCTGTGGAGCTACTCATGTCATTCCAGAAATATTCTTTCTCTTCTAATTTTTTTTTTAGACAGAGTCTTGCTTTGTTGCCCAGGCTGGAGTGTGGTGGCACAATCTCGGCTCACTTCAGCCTCTGCCTCCCGGGTTCAAGTGATTCTTTCATCTCAGCCTCCCGAGTAGCTGGGACTACAGGAACCTGCCACCACGCCTGGCTAATTTTTGTATTTTTAGTAGACATGGGGTTTCACCATATTGGCCTTGTGATCCACTTGCCTTGGCCTCCCAAAGTGCTGGGATTACAGACGTGAGCCACTGTACCCTGCCTCTAATTCTTTTGAACTGGAAGTTAGGTCAAGTCTTGATTAGATTAATGTTGACCATTTTTGATGTTTCAGAGGTGAGGCTATGGGCTGCTTATTTCATCACATCAAGAGGCACTTAAGTTTAAATTGTGTTGCTGTTGTTGATAACTGAATTTGCTCTCTTGGTTAAGCTGGTGACTGACGATGGATTTCTTTATTTTAAAGGTTTGTTTCTTCATTACAATTGGCAGGTAATCTGTGGAGTGATAGTTGGACACACTGGGAACATTCTGTTCCTCAACAACTGTTCTTTCATTTAATAGTTTTAGCCTGGGTTATTTACCCATGCTTGAGTAAATAATTTCACTGTGGGAACCTTTTTATTTTGAAACAGTCTTCTTCAGTTTTTACTCTAATATTGGCATTTTTTTAAAAAAGTCACTCTACTTAATGTGTTGGCATTTAATAGACTTGCGGGGGTTATTGTTTATGTGAAATGCCCTAAAACTAATGACAAACACAGATAATACGAATATTCTACAGAAAATTATTATGTATGGGTGAAATTAAAGTCAATGCACGTCTGAGAAATCTGTTAGTGGCAGGCAAAGGTGCTGAATTTTCTTACGTTTACTTGTTTCTTTTAATGAGCAGTTTTGTGTTTCAAACTATAGGCACATTTGTATACCTTTGGGCTTTGGGTTTTTACCCATTAGATGAACCACTCATATTGGTTCTGTGTGGGAGATATACTGGGTGCCAACTGGTATAGTAGAAACGTACTTTTCACAATTTGTCTTAACAGTAAGAATAGCTTCCTCTGCCTCCCACCCTAGGAGCCCACAGATTGTGGGTAGACAACAGAGACTATTCTGATTCTTGTTCTAACAACTACTGCAGTGTCTGACACAAAATAGGTGCTCCAGAAATGTATGAACTGAGCTCTTCTCCCTGGACTGGATGGGCTTAGCAGCAAGGATCAAAGCAAGGGGAGGACCTGGATGGGTCAGAGTACTGGAAGGAGGTAGGGTTGGGAAACTCTAGCAGATTCCACAAAAACAGGTAAAATGGTGAGGGTAAGTGGGGTATAGGATAAGAGTACATAAACTTAAGGATGGCTTGGCTGTGTGCGTTTAAGTTCTCTGAATAATCTTTGCTTTAGGGGAAAATTGTTTTGAGGGTTGGCAGTAGTCAGTGATTTCTTTTAGTAGTAGCCCAAAGCAAGGCCGTGACTTTTTCTTTCTTTGGTGGAGGGGGTGGGATGAGGATGAGTTGTGGTAGAGCTTTTCTCCATTCATATGTTGATATCAGTATATGTATATTCTTCTTATCCTATGGCTATTTTTATACCTGTATGAAAAGTCTAGACAATTTGTCCCTGCCCTCTTCTCCAACTTCATCTTCTACCACTTTCCCCTCTTCTCACTAAGTGTCAGTCATATTGGCCTTCTTAAGTTTGTTTCTAATCCCAAGACCTTTTTTCTAGTTGTTTTCCCTGTCTGAAGTTCTGTCTTCTGATCTTTGCTTGGTTGGTTTTCTCTTGTCATTCATGTCTCATAAATGTCACTTCTCAGAAGCCTTCCTTGCCTGAATACCCAGTCTAAAGTGACACACTCAATTGCAGTCAGTCTGTTTTTTTGAGACAGGGTTTCATTGTTGCCCAGGCTGGAGTGCAGTGGTGGGATCACAGATCACTGCAGCCTGAACCTCCCTGAGCTCAGGTAATCTTCCCACCTTAGCCTCCTTAGTAGCTGGGACTACAGGTACACACAATCACACGTGGGTAATTTTTGTGTTTTCTTTAGAGACAGGATTTTGCTGTGTTGCCCAGGTGGGTCTTGAAGTCCTGGGCTCAAGTGATCTGTCTGCCTCAGCCTCTCAAGTAGCTGGGATTACAGGCGCCCACCACCATGCCCAGCAAATTTTTGTCTTTTTAGTAGAGACGGAGTTTCACCATGTTGGCTGGGCTGGTCTTGAACTCCTGACCTCGTGATCCACCTGCCTTGCCCTCCCAAAGTGCCGGGATTACAGGCGTGAGCCACCGTGCTTGGCCAGTTATAATTATTTTAACAAAGGTATTAATTTGCTTTGGCTGTATTCTTTATAGGCTAATAACTTTCAGACTTTTACTGTCTGGAACATTCTTCAGTTTTAGAGATAGCTGCTATCACTAAGCTATATCAACACAGTACAAAGCTATTCCCTGTCACCCCCGCACTAAGAACTTTGACTTATTTTCTGTTAAATTTTAGCTTTCAATTTTAATCCTTATATTTTGTACATATATATGGTGAATAACTATATATAACTTGCTAAGTATACAGTTGTATACAATTTTGGGGATGATTAGAAACAGAATCCTAGAGAATTCAACAAATTCAAGAAATTATATATTTGTTGAATGGCTTCAGCTACGTGGTATAGGATTAGATGACCTAAACCTTAAGACCGTTTCTGACTTACGTTTTAGATTTTTGTTTAGTAGGTCAGTCTGATTTTTTTCCCCATAGCAT